TGGACGGTGGAAATAGAGGCTGATTTAATTATTGCTGTTTTGTTGTAATACAACTGCCTGAGTCACTTTTAAAATGTGTATATATTCATTAAATATATAATCGTGGAAATTTCAGAGTTGACAGTATTTTACGACGTTCTTGCATTTCGGATTTGTTTACAAATTGTTCGTAGCCAAAAGTTCGTCAAATTTGTTGTATTTCGTGCTGATCGTGTATTATAACACTGTTATATAATAGAATTTTATTTCTTAAATTTAAGTTGAATAATTTTTAAAAATCCGTTTGTATATGCGCGGCTTTTCTCCTAATTACTTATCTTTTAAATTGTTAACTGCATAATCAGTGACACATTTTAAACAGCATAAAAGATGCATAAAAAAGAAAAAGCATAGCTTATGTAATAATGAGAATACTCATTAAATGTGTCTATTATTTTCATGTTATTAATGAAATACTTTTTGGATTATAAATACATTAGAAACTATACTTTTATTGTAAATGCTACATATTGAAACATTGAAAATTTATGGATTTATTATTATGCATGATGAAAAACATTTGTATATACATTCATTAATATAAATCTTATTCATTACATTAATACTAATAAATATATATTAACAACTTCTAAAGCATCGCATCTCTCTATCTTGTATGTAAATGACTTATTAGATGTGTATATATATATGTACGTATGAATACAAAAATGAACATTGCCAAGAAGTTTATTTGAAGTTACTTTTAATTCAGATAACGATTATGTACTTGGCAGCAACTATAGTTATCAGTTCTTTGCAAATTATTATGAGTATGTAATAATCAGTTGAAAAATAATTGATGAGTATTTGAGTACTAAAGAGTGTACACATTTTGTTATTGGGTTAATTCATAATTATATCATACATATGATCTACGTAATAAAAACATGACTAATAAATAATAAGAAATGTAACAGCTGTGCATTTATAACATTTGATTACTTATAACAGCACACAACTGATTATCACCTTCATGTCTGTTTACATAATGAATTGCACTTTCCAATTAAGTGCACGGGCCTACTAGTGGCCGAAGCGTCGTTGAACACTGGTAGTTCTGTCTCAGGTCAGAATGCCGCGAACGGGCTGGCTACATGACGTTTCCTTGGTTTGCCCCATTTGTAACTGGTATACGAGCCAGTTTAAAAAAATCTTCTACAAAGGGATCCCTCCTGTTGTTATCCCTCGAGACATCACATAAAACCAACTGAGCCCACCAGCGGCCGAGCGGTAAAGTCGCTGAACACTGGCAGTTCGGTCCGAGGTTCGAATCCCGTGAACGGGCTGGCTGCATGGACGCTTTCGTGGTTTTCCCCATGTGTAACGTGTATACGAGCTAGTTTCCCTTACAAAGGGGGTCCTCCCCGAAGGCATCCCTTCCCTTAGGCAGATAGTCCTAGTGTGCTTTGCTGTAATCTCAATAAACCAAACCATAAAACAAACTCATGATGTGAACACCTAATTTCTAGAGTTGGTATAATTAATGTGTTTTAGGTATATGGTTCTATGGGACAGTAAACAACTCGCACATGTTTGATTGCTCATGTATTCATATGCTTTATTTGATCTTCATTTTGCTGAATAATATCTGCTGGCTGTGAGGAGGTAAATATCAGCCATATAGATTTTTGTCAGTTGAATGGACAGAACAGTAATTATGAGCCATAAAGTTAGTAATTATGAGCCTTAGTGTATACAGAATTTTGCTATTACTGATGTAATTGATTGCTATAACCAGAAGTGTGTTTATCTGTTACATGAAGTGCCAGAGTGGAGATCAAAGTGATTAACTTGATAGCAATCACCTTTCTATTATCTTCCATTACTAACAATAAAGTTTAAAACGAAAAGCGTGTGAGCGATACAAAACAACACGAAGAAGCGAATGTCACTTGAAAGGAAACGTCACTTTCGCCAATCTGAGCGATAACTGATTCTTGTTTGGCTTTCAGCCTGTTTGGCAAGTGAAGATGGTAACCCTATTTCGCCAAAAGGCCGTTTCTCAGCACTGTTGCTGCAAACGTTTTGTCCCGGCAACAAACAGCTAATGTGATAAAGCTTTTACGCGTGCGTGCAAGATATTTACGACTGCATATATGCGTCTGCGCAGCGCAGAATACGTTTTCGCGTGCGCTTTTAATATATAACGGACGGTATAAGCTAAAATGATCTATTTCAGTTAATGTTGATGATTGCGTTGTTCTTTAATCTTCGAATTGGATCCGGCTTATTATTTTTTGCAGACTGTAAGAGCAATTTTATAAAAGTAAGCTTGAACTTTCGATTATGTCAAATAGAATTTCCGATGCTGGAGCTCCCAGAGGATCTAGAAAACAAAAGTATGTTTCGATGTCCATCAAACAAAAAACGAATAGCTACAAAAAATGGATAGAGGCATATCCTTTGTTTATCTAACCATTCCGAAATCTGTTTATCAATTTCACGCTGCTCTGCGTGGGGAGGGGGGGGACGTCGCGGCGCACAATGAACTGGAAGTTGATCTGTCAGCACTATCATTATCTTCAGGGCAGATGTTTGTATTTTATTTGGCTTATAATTCCTTACTAAATGTAGTATTTAATCTCGATGTACTCCGTCTTTGATATGATTTAAATCAAATTCCTCGTCATTATAAATATCACAAATACAAATCAAATAGTTTTCTGGTTGCAATTTTCTAATTTCGGCTATCCGTAATGTATGCTTTACGCATGCGCGCGTTAGTACACAAATAAACATTAAGCTTCTTTTTTTGTAAATTTTGATACCCTTTAGATCATAATTGCTCATTATTTTATAAATTACGGTTTCATATTTTTAATTTTATAATTTCTGCATGCCATCTTACCAGATTTAAACTGATGATCTTTAATCCGCAAAAATCGATAATCCGAAATCGCCGAAGTCCCGACGAGTCCGGATTAAAATCTTTTGACTGTATATGCCTAATAAACCTAATTTGAAATAAAATTTAGGTTATCTGTCGACACTGCTACTAAATACTTTTGAATAGATTTCCTTATGTAGGAAAAGATGAAACAGCAAATCCTCAATTACGTTTGTCTGAAAATGTCATAACATTAATGGAGCCACATCTAAACAAAGGGGGGAATATTACCACGGATAACTATTTTGCTAGAATTAAATTAGCAGAAATGCTAAAATAAAAAAATACAACTATGGTTGGCACAATGAAACAGAACAGAAGAGAAATTCTTATATCTTTGAAAAATATGCGTAGTTAACTTTATTCATAGACAATAGTGGGACATGATAATATCACACTTACCATCTAATCAAGGCAAAAGAAACAAAAGTGTTTATCTGCTGAGCTCATTACATTCTACTGTAAAAACTGAAGACAGTTTCAAGAAGTTTCAAGAATTTTACAACGCAACAAAGTATGGTGCGGATATTCGTGATCAGATGTGCCAAAAATATTCAGTTAAATCGGTTAATTCAGTTAATATCTTTTTCAATATTTTCGATCACGTAGCTTTGAATGCTTGGATAATTTATAAAAGTGTCATACAAAACACCATTAACAGGAGAGATTTTCTACTGAAATTAGGAGAGGAGTTAAGAGTGGTACATATGGCTTCAAAACTCCCAGAGATCCTTCCTGAGTCTTCAGAAAAAACACATATGAAAAGAAAATGGATATAAAGAGAAAAAAAAAAAAGTGTCAAGTACAGAGATACAATGGAAACAAATCTCAAGAATATTGTGCATCTTGTTCCAAAGTTGTGTGTGGAAAATGCACTGGAAAAATTGTTAAAAATTATTTTTGTATCAATTGCATTAATTCTTAATACATATGTGTAATCTTTAATATTTTAAAAATTAAATAGAATTGAAATGAAATGCTTTACATATTCCATTCAGCTACACATATAATGATATAACTGACACATCAGAGAACATTTCTCATTTCTGGATTTAGAGAGTGAATCATCCTCCGAGTAAGTACATAAAAAAATATTAATATATAAATTGTGTTTTATTTTAGTTAACATTAGTTTTAATTTGTGGAACCATTTATTTGAAATCAATTCTTATATCAAATTAATGAGTTATTTGAGTAATTATAGTATGATCCAATTGATCGCCATGTACTCGATACATTTACAGTATTTTAAAAAGTCAATAAGTTATCATGTGATATTAAATATAAATTATGAAATACATATAAAATACATATTTGTGCCAATGTATGGCATTTAAAATTGTTTTATTGTTGTTACAGTACAAAGTCTCTAATCCGGGCATCCATTATTTGGAATGATCTATAATCCGGACCTCAAAGCCACAAACTTACGCATGCGCGTAAAGCCAGTAAAGCGTTTACCCATGCGCGCTTCCGATAGTGAAGAAAGTAACAGAGAACGTTATTGAAAACGAAAAAATTTCGATTGACAATTTAGTCAGTATTCTCGACACAGCAATTACAGGACTTGAACAGTGGAACTTTGTAACTCAACAAGAAATTATGTCTGTTTATAGAATTAAAGAGAAAGTATTAGCAGAAAAAACAAAGCAACTTAAACAACTTACATTGATAGAAATGTTTACTAAACTAAACAAATAAATATTAAGCTTTTTTTTTTTTTTTTTTTTTATAAATTTTGATACCCTTATATCATAATTGCTCTTTATTTCATATAAATTACGGTTTCATATTTTTAATTGTATAATTTCTGCATGCCATCTTACCAGATTTAAATTGATGATCTATAATCCGGAAAAACCCCTAATCTGGAATCGCCGAAGTCCCGATGCGTCCAGATTATGGACTTTGTACTGTATTTCAGTACTTTCATCGAAGGGTCAAAATGACCCCTTACCACCGTTCAAGTAGGTAAGATTTTCCTACATTCTAGTGTTAATCATCAAAATACAAAATACACATTAAAAAAAGAAATTATTCAAGCTGAACTAATTTTAGTAGTTTAATAATGTACCTGTCTGCCATGAAACTCGATCTGAAAATTCTTTGCAGACTCCTGAGTTACTCGCCCACCAAAGTCAAGCTGATATACCTGGCTAACTTCATTCCACAGAGGGGCTTTATTATGAAGGACGAACTCTCGATATGGAGGCAAATTACCATTGGCCGGAACACTGTCTGTAACAGTTCTACCACAGCGTTTTTTTAACTATTAAAATGATAAAACACAAAATGAGAAAAAACATTTGTGCATACAAAGCAAATATTTTAGTTTTTTTCAAATATTGTGGTAAAATAGAGTAGAATGGAGGGAAAATTAATTAAAGAAAGGCATCCTGCTTCCCAAGGACAATGACAAGAAAATGGATACTCTACCACTAATTTCTAGTTTTTATTTAATAATTAGAATGAAAATTTTTATATAATACAAAATAATCAAACTATTAACAAAATGCAAAAATACAGATGATTGGTTAATGAGCTATAGCAATGAGTTTAAAGCTGCAGGTAATATTTCTGTGGATAACGTTTGGAAATAAGCTCTTTCATATTTTATTTTCACTATATATAAACCATTAAAACAGCCAGAGAGCCAATCTATTATGCTATTGAAAACTAAATTTAAGATGTAGTTACTACTGTTAAGCATTTGAATAGCTTGGCCACTGCTGGGCCTTACAATGCAATGCTTCAGATGAACTATAATTATATACTGATGAAAAATAGCTAAATTATGGTTCTAATTAGTACTGCTAATTAGCACTGTGTCTTGATTAAGAATCAAATTACTGATTTCTCATGTTAGTTTACAGAAATTAAAACACAATAATTTCCACTTTTTACATTTTAGAACTATTTAATTAATAAGAACAACATTAAATTTCCTTGAAAATATAAATGCTACTAAGTTTTACACTTCTGAACTACTGAAATGTGATTTTAAAAATATTTTACAAGATTTTGTCATCGCCAAGAGAGAATATTTAAGCATTTAAAAAAAAAAAATCCCTCTTAAGATAAGGAAAACTAAATGCTTATACTTTGTTAAGCAGAACTTTTTTTTATATTTATTTTAATATGATTTTTTTAGATTTTCTTCCAAATGATTATCAATTCAATGAATAAATAAATAAAAACTAGTTGTTTTGTAAGTATTTATTACTGATATTTGAAAATTTTTATTATCTAAGCATTATGTCAAATAAAAATAATGGATATATTTTCTCAAGAAGTTTTCTTCTTCATACACTTTATTAAAATCATTAATTAATGCAAATGTAATTAATCTACATTAAAACAACAGTATTCTAACTTTGAAAGCTTAATACTTGTTATCATAGTACTTTTTTATAAAACTATTATATTTTTACTACAATTATATATTGCTTATTTTAATAAGTTACAAATATTAAATAAATAAATGTTTTTTAGAGAAGACAAAAATTTGATTATGAATTTTAATTCTTATTTGCTACAATACTTGAAGTACAAAAAAATTTAACATTATTTTTTTTCCTATTCCTTTCTAGGATTACAAAATATGAACTTATAAGAAGATTTTAAGAATTTAAGACTTCAGAATTGAACTTTTTCAGTTCCTTTAAAAATTTTATTTACAGATATCAAAATTTAGTTAGAGGAATGCAGAAATCTTGATCTTGTTTTTAAAGGAAATTTGAATCAGTTGTGATGATAATTGGATCAAATTAGAAGAACTTGCATTTAATGAAATGAAATATTAAAAAATTAAAAATAAATTAGATTGAAAATAATTTAAAAAATATTTTCTTAAACATAAGATATATTTTACATGAAAATGGGGGGGAAACACACATGCATCAGTTAAAATATAAAATTATTAAAAACCCTTTTGATTGGTGTTGATATAGAATTTACATAAAAATTTAACTGCTTTGATATGGTGACTGACATAAATTACTTTTCTTCAAAGAGCAAAAATTCTACTCTCTGAAGAACAGGGAATATATCAGTTTTCCTTGAAATAAATAAGGGTTCTGTTTAAAATTTGTACCATCCGAGATTGTTTTTTTTTTTTTTGCTCAACTTTGTAAAATATGGGTAGCTCATGGATGTCAGTGATATACAGAGTTACAATACACAAACATCACCAACCTTTCTGCGTATGTATGCCTTCTGAAAGCTTTCAAGATCTTTAAAATTTTCTCCTGCCATATCATCTCCACTAAACGCTCCTTCTTCATCTGAACTGTCAACCAACCTCTGTCGACGCATTTTCCTTAATAATAAAGGACTATATAATAAACCACGTCTTTGGTTCTTCTTACGTGTCACAACTGGTGATGATGGTATGCTTCGACTCACTGTAGTCGAAGAATCAGACATTTCACTAGTATCCTCTGCTTGTAGATAACTAGCCCGGTGTTCCTGCAGAAAGGATGATGTTGACAGATCAGTACTTTCACTTGGCACTTCACTCCCATGCCGGACGGGGCTTGAGTTTTCTGATTTTGCAATGCCTTGATCTAGATTTTTTAGACATTTGAGTTTTTTTACAGCTTCTGAGATTTTATTAACATCTTCACAACTATAAAAATCTTTTCTCAGTATACTTTTTGTTCCAGATTTTGCAGAAGTATTTTCAGAAACTTGCACAGGATTGGCTGCAGGCTTTTTTTCAATAGGGCAGGAACATGCAATATCAAAAAATCCTTCTTCACCCACAGAAACACCACTGGCATCACATGACTGGCTATCACAAGTTTTCTCTCCTTCATTACACTCATGACAGTGCATCTTTCCACAAGGAGGTTTTGGTTTTAGAGTTAGTCGGCGACATGAGCCTTTGAATGAAGTACCACTGCGTTCACGGACATTAGTAAACTCAGCAGCATGTAATTGATTGGCGCTATGACTTCTACTCACAATTAATGAGGAACTTTGACTATTTGGAAAAGAAACTTTTTCACAACAAGGTGTTTCAGGATCATCAATAAATTTCATATCTAGATTTTTTTTAGAAATCTGACTAAAACTTTCTAGATTTGGAGAAATATTTGAGTTTGTGGCACCACTATGAGATTCATTACTTTGCAGACTTTGGATAGGTAATGAAGATGGTAATATACAAAAAGGTTTTTGAATATTACAAGAGTTGGAATTAACTTCAATGATTCGTCTGGTTGCTAATGGAGATTGTAAGCTACTTCTGAATGTACTGTCCAGTATTAAACCACCAGGCTGTGAACTGCAGGAAGCAACACTCACGTAACAAGACACATTTTTACTATCTACAGAAGTACTAGAATTTGATTGAGAAGAAAGATTGGAATTTTCATTTTCAGATAGGCTGTTCTGTGCTGAAACATCCTTAGAAGAATCACTACTAGCAGCTGTAAAATCTTCACTAAAGTCTAAATCCAGAGAACTCCCTCCAACTGATGTCCATTCTTTTATTTGAGAAACAGGTGTAGCTTGGGCAAAACACTTTGATTCATCACCAGTTTTTTCTAAACTCTTTCCTGGAAAGAATAACCCTGAGCCATTTGAGCTGGATGGAATGGTAGACAGAACAGGATCAGGCTGTAAGTCTGGAACACAAGAGACACTAGTTTGTGTTGCCACAGATACAACACTACTGCTTTCTGCACGTTGGAGACTAATAACATGCACTCCTTTTTCTCCTGTGATTTCAAAAGTAAGGAACTCTTCAGAAGGAATGAAGTTCACATAATCTCCATTGTTGCAGTTAGAAAAAACACCATTTTGTTCATGTTCTTGATTCAAGTGACAACGAAAAGTAGCATTTCTTTGTTGTTTCTTTGGAGTCATTGGTGCAATAGGTATACTATCTTCATAAGTAGTATCTGAAAATTAAAAACAATTTTTAACATCAAGTAGCATATTCAACCATTTTACAATAATAAAATTAATTAAAAAATAAAATAACCTAAAAATTTATAAATTTTTATATTTTTTCAAAAACAATTGTACATAATTTTTTGAACAAAATTACTTACTATAATAAGATTTCAGCAGTTTAAACGCAAAGAATCATGCCTAATTCTTCGCATTTACACAGGGTAATTCAAAACTACCTGGTACAATGTTAAGTAAACAACAAATAAATAAACATATTTTGTAATGCAATGTGTGTACGGAAATCATGCATTGAGGTGATACACAATACTATTGAGATCAGCAGGTAAAAATTGTTAGCTGATTCCACACGTGGATTTTGAGCTATATGCATCACTACATGAATACAAAACTCATTGATATTAATTTTATGTATGAGGCTATGGGCAGAAATGGAGCAGCCACTCAAAAGAAAACCAGAGAGCAATTTCTGAGTATTTCCTTTGAACAGTTGCTAAGCTCTGTGATCATGTAGTGATGCATACTAGTAGAAATTCATATGGGAAATAACATCTTAAGTCCAGGAGACTGCTTTTATCTACTAATCAACAGCAACCTATATCACCCCAATGTGCCATTTTCGCACAAACATTCCATTACAAAATATGTTTATTTTGGCACCATCTACCTGCCTTTACATTTTTCTCACACTTTTTTTTTTATCACTGTATAGTCACTTAATGCTATAGAATGCTAAAAATTGCTAGAAATGTGACGAGTATGTGACCTTCCATGTCATTACATTTCAGGTTCACACATAAATAAGTTTCTGAGCAAAAAAGAGCCGCTTAAGCTTTACTGATAAAATCGTGTCTTAGACAAATTTAGCTCTGAGATTTTCTGCAGCATGCAAAGGTTGTGAAAGCATTATATGCTGCTCCACAGCTATATGATGTGTCCTATGAATGAATAAACAAAGATATCCACAAAAGGGTATATGTAACATTATGCCAGGAATTATAAAAAATCAATTCAATTGCAATAGTTAAATTTAATAATTTTTGCTACTAATGTTTAAAGCATATATAGCAATTTGATGGCATATTGTTTTTTAAAAATACGAATGTAAACTCAAGAAAACATAACAATATTTTACTCATACATCAATACAATTAAAAAAATTAATTACCCCCAGGATCATCTTCATCCTCAGAGAATACTACTGAGGAAGCTGTTTTCCCATCAGGTCCTGCAGGGCAACTCTCACGTGGTTGAGGACCCCTTAATTCTTTCATCAATAGTGTCATCTGGCGAGGTTGCAAGTGGAGTAAACTTGTTCGGTAGGTTACGGTGCCAAGAACAGAAGGAAGCCATGGAACAAGACCAAGGATTTTGAATTTGGTTCCCCAGATATTGGAAGTAACAGATACAATTTTTTCGCTCTGAAAGTGTCAAAAAATATTACATATTGAAATTAAAATTCTCTCTTATTCTATTTAACATTATAGAACATTATTAAATCAGCCAACTTCATATAATATTAAAAAATAATAATTATATGTGATAATGACATCAATATCTTCAATTAAAATTAAATGCTTCCTTTTCAAGTATATATAATAAGAATTATCCCTTGCCTTGGGCTGATAGCCATAGTCCAAGTGAGCCAAATAATAATGTAAATCAAATTACAGACTCCACATAATACAAAGCTTGCTTTCTAATATCTGATATTTCAACTTTAAAAGCTGATATAGCTCTATTACTGTTTTGACTAAATGTTGTCTAAAAGAAAAATAAATCTTAATGCATAAAGTTCGCAGAGTTATGTCAAACGGTCTCTTTAAATGGAGTTACGCACATTGGAGACACAAATCTTTTCACTCATATGGCCTGGTTAGAGCTGGGTTCGATTCTAAGCGAACAGAATGGTTGTATTGACATTTTCGTAATTTCGCCCATGTAAAACGTTGATACGAGCCAGAGCCAGTTTCCTCACAGAAAGATTTCCATGAAGACATCCCTTCGGTTTGGCAGATAGCCCTAGCGTACTTTGTCATCATCAACAAAACGTAACCTATCACGGCCGGATTTACGGAAAGGAAAGCATACGAAAAGCATGGAACGCTATAAGGAATAATGGAGATTCTGTTCATTCTTCTGATTCAATTTTTCACAGCCAAAACTTTTATCAAAATGAAAGGAGGATTTTGTAAATCTTCAAAGTTCCAGAGATTGCAATTAATTTGAAAATTACTCTAATAAGCCTTTCTACATTGATGTCCAAAACTGTATTTATAAGATTCCAATACTAATTTCTTAAAAAATATTGAATGAAATTGAATGTATTAATTTGGCATGAAATCATAACAAATAAAAACAAACTAAGAGATCAAATATAACTGCATACAGCACAAAACTATATTATGAGCCAATACATATGTAATAATGAAATTTAGGAAAAAGTGAATACCTCAAAAGTAAATGCAAGCTTAAGAGCTTAGAGCAAGTTAAGAGAGACCAGGAATCTGTTTTAACTTATATATGCATATCACAATGCAATTTCAAGCTCTCAATAACGTGCTTAATTAAAATACAAGGAAATTTTCTTTATCAGTATGATCTTGAAGGCACAGAGATCTTTGAGAAGAGAATTTTGCTATGCAAATCTGTTCTAAGAATGTTCGATATACTGTCCGTAGGATTTTATTTTGAAAATCTAACCGGCCAGTTATTTTCTGAGTGTTTTTGGTTTTAACTAATGCGGCAATCAGGTTTGTTTCATGGTGATACACAACGAAAAAAAAGGGGGGGGGGTCAGACACACAATACCTTCTAGAAAGTGTTATGTAGAGTTTTCAACACTTCATATAGTTAGACAGACTAAAATCCTTTACCAAACATGCACAACAAAGTAAGTACATATATCAACCATTATTCCTTTGACCAATAACATTCTCTAATTTTGATGGGATGTTTTTTTACATGGGTTTAGGATCAGTTGCTAAAACTGACTTGACTTTCATTGGAGATAGCACATGTCCATTATTGTAAATTCGAGCAATTGTTCTCTGTATTATCTTAAACTAGCTGTCTTTAATTCTGAAGTCACTGGCACACAAACTGTTGGCTTTCTGACAGAGAGGCCTTTGTCATTAAATCTTCTGTAAATTGCTTTCTATGGTACAATAGTTTCAGTAGCAGCTGCAAACTCTAAACTCAGTTGATAACATTTGATTTCTTGTTGTAATGGGCAATTACAGACAACAGCTGATCATGAAAAGCAGTTTTTTTCCTTCTGTCCCAGCTTCTTTCAGTAGAGTCAATAAATTGCTTCTATTCTATAAACTGTCTCTAAATTATTTAAAATTGTGCCTGTTTTGAAATGTTTAGCTATCTTGTTCCATCCCTAAATGCCTGTAGTGTTTCTAAATGGCTAACTACTTTTTTATTTCAAAGCTTCTTTAACTCAGATCCAGTCAAACTAAGGCCCACAGGCCACATGTAGATAGATTTTATTTTCATGTGGATCATGAGCAATAAACATATTTTTAAAAATAGCTTACTTTTTCTATCTTTTGATACTTCTTTAAATTAAATAAATTTGAATGACACATTTAAAATTCGTCAGCTTGTGAACAAGATTTATAACTTCCAGTTTTGTCACAGATTGTAGATCACCCTTTATTAGGAAAATCTGGCAATTGTTGAAAAATTGAAAAAAAAATTTGCCGATAGTTTGTAATCCATTTTCAGTGGAAATTGAGAGCACACACAAAGTAAGCTACAACTTCAGATTATACGTATGCAGTATGATACTGGATAAAGAGAATTTATTGTACAGCCATAAAGAAATGTACAAATGTTACAATACTTTTAATTTGGACAAATTTTACAAACTTAAGCATTTTGTTCAAGAAATGTTGGCTATTTTTGGATCAACGCATACATGTAAACAAATATTATCAATGATAAATCGTGAATCTAAATATAGAAAACATTCTATGGCTAAGCATCACCAATGGGTATTTACAAACACATCTAAGAATCTCAACAACAAAATTAACACCACAAATTTAGGGATGTGTGCCAATAATTTAAGATGCAAAAGAAGAAACAATTAATTTTAATGATGCCTGATGGTTATAGATGGCATTGTCATGTAAAATGCATAAAATATGCCCGATTTCTCTCTCTCTCTATATATATACATGAAATGAACTTCTAATTTTAATTGACAGTAGCTCATAAAATTTTTCATTTTAATTTGAATATTTCCCCTTCCTGTCTTAAAAATTCTAACTGCTTATAACTATCTACGTAATTCAAATTAATCCATGGCATATCATCTTACATAAGACTTCTAATGCAGGTTCGTTTTAACCATTCAACAAATAAGGTTCCAATTGAAATCAAAACGTTGTAGGAAACCATAACTTTTGACTTACTCCCAAGCTTTCTCTCTAAATACATCATATTTTTCTGCTTGTCTGCTTCCAGCTAAAATATAATGGCTCACATCTCTATATCATCTTTTGTATCTGTCTTAAAGATTTCAAAAACTTGATGAAGATTGGGTGCAGATTGCTTCCATAATGATGTATACAGTAACTAACAAAAATATATACTAACAAAACTAAGTAAAATATTTATTGATGTTTCAGCCTAATGTTTATAACTAAAGAGAATGACAAATCTAAAGTTCCTCAACTTACAGCTTGATAATATAATAACAGCTCAATATTCACATGTAAAAATACTAAAGATTAACCTGGCTCCTGAGATAAAGTGTCTTTTCATGTAAACATAAATGAAAAATAAATTAATCGGCAGTCAGCACACCTGTCTAAAGCAACAAGATCACTGCATTCCAAGCCTAAGTTGCCAGAGCCCCCTCTCTCTAGATTTGCACGAGATATAACATGTTAATTAAAATAAACTAAATAAATTAGTTATGCATTTGTACTAATAAGAATTTCACACTAACATTTTCACATACCTAATTTTTAAGATTTTTTTGAAAGCATAAAAGAATTCAGATATTGCTATTTATAAAATGTTCCAATACTAATATAATCAAAAGCTGACGTAGTCACCCAGATAGTATAGTTGTTAGGAGAGCCAACTATGCTACTGAACGGCCTGGGTTCGAACCCGTGAGAAGGCATGGTTGTAACTGTCTGTGCCTTCATAGAAGGTAAAGGTGACCCACCTATTAGGTGCTTCCATAATAAAGTGATCACCACTTCTGGCCTTACTAGAGGACAAGCTGAAGTTAGGTGATGGCCCACCATTACAAGGGGGAAAGCTAATATCAAATAATAGAATATCTATCTTCATTTTAAGTTTTTAGTCTTCTACATATAAAGTGATAAAAATATAATGAAACTTCTGATCGTAACTACCTTCCCAAGACTTACTCTCAAAATACCAGCATAATTAAAAACTGATCATGAATAATTGCATTATTCCAAGGAGATCACCTCCACAGAAGCACACAACTGTCTGAAACCAATGCTGGTCATCTTAAAGAAATTTATATTCATTTACGTTTAAAACGTTTACAGATTCTTGTTAAAAAATGAATGGAAAAATGAAAATTTTTTAAAGATGCTAACCAATATATGTAAGAAAATGGGGAAAAAAAAATTGTAAGTCTTGCGCTGCATATATTGTTATAAATAAATAAATTGAACAGGAAACATATACTTACCTCTGGTAGCTCATCAATATACATTATCTCTCTCCAAGCAGTTTCTGCTCTACCATGATTATGGCGCCTGCTACGTTTACGCCGTTGCATTCGAGGAGAAGCACATCCTTCTTCAACTTCACTGTCAGAAGAGGATGTTGGAATATATAATGGAACGATTGCTAAGCAAGTATTGAGTTGTGCTGGAGGAAATGCATGTGCCTGACAGTCCTTAACCCTGTACAATGGATGAGGTAGGCCTGGTTCTATTTGCAAATGAAAAACCATACAAATCTTGAAATTATATTTTTAATTAGAAGTCAATGACGGGGGGGGGATGTGTAATGAATGCCATTATAACATTTAATAAACAAGATTATTTAGTGCTTGTACTTTGAGGAACTTCAGTTGATGTCAAAGTAACTTTGGTGACAATTCACATACCACAGATCATTAAAACTTACAAAAGTTCATCTACTTTGTATAAATCCTCCTAGCAAATTCTCTCTGAGATTAAATCTTTATTCCAGGGCCGCCACCTGTGTGCCCACATAGTTTTCGCCGCCCCGTCCCTCTCCCCTTCTCTAGAGTACAAAATGAAGATCGTTGGAATGGAATACAATTTATGTAAATTTATACCTTTTTCCAAAAAATAATTTTTCAGCAAATTTGTATTAAAAATATTTTTTTCTCAATTATAAAACTTCAAAAGTCAATGTCTTAATATAAAATAGACCTAATTTTTAACGAAATCGTTTTAAAAATATGAAGAAAAATTAGTAAAATTGTGGGAACTAAATCAAATGGATTTAAAAAAACTTACCTTATAATGGCGAAAAAAAGAACCTGGGAGCTTTAAAACACTTCTCAAATTGTTTTTAGGATAAAAGTTAAAATTGCACTCTCCGAGATTTTGTTTCCGAAAATTTTTTTAACACACTATTAAGGTCTATGGTATCACACAATTCGTGTTCAATAGAAAGAGTTGCCAAAGCCGATAATCTTTCCTGACTCATGGATGATCTAAGATAGTTTTTTATCAACTTGAGCTTGGAGAATGAACGTTCTCCAGTTGCAACAGTGATCGGTAAGGTCAAGAAAATTCTAATTAGTACGGTTAAATTGGGAAAAGATGACGATAAATTATTTTCTGGTATGTATTCAAGAATTCCAATTGTATTCATATTAGTTTTAAGATGGGGGAATTGCATAGCTTTAATTTCTTCGAATAATTCCGCCCCGTTAATGTTGCTATGATTTAGCTTCTTGTCTGTCAAGGTTAGTTCTGCTTCAGCACAGTGGGCTTTCAGTTCATTGTCTTTAAGGTCGCCATATTCGTGTATATTATATAAATTTTAAAGATGTTAATATGTTGGTATAATAATTGAAATCTCTCATTTCTAGCCCCAATTGTTGCATCCAAAATTTTAAAGTAAAAGTTGACTTTAAAAGAGCTCTCTGGATTAAGACACAATAACACGCCGAATAAATACTAATTCAGAAGTCAAACCAACAAAATCAGCGTTATATTCACAAAATTTTCACAGGACTAGTTTCGATGGTTTTACCGAACCATCATCTTCAGCTGCAAAACCGCAAATGAACAAGATAGGAAATAATGATTAGATAAGATAAGAAAGCCTGGACAAAAAATAAGCAAGTGGCGCCATCTGTTGGCGAAACCAGAACTAAAACATAATTTCTCTAAAAGCCGAAGGCAAATTTGGATTGGAATTAGGATCGTTAACTAGAACAGAAAGATTTTTATGAATGTGAAATGCCTCTAGAAAATCCAGTTCTCCAATGGAAGATGTTTTTTGAATAATTTTGGCAGCAGAAAAATTGAAAGTGTGATTTTCGGACCAACAATGTTGAGCAACAGAAGACTTCTGTGTTTCCTTTTTTCTAACATATGCCTCATGTTCTTTGACGCGAAATTTTAAGGCTCTCTTAGTTTAGACCAATGTAAATTAAACCACACTGGCAAGGAATCCTATAAATACCCCAGGAATTCATATCCGGAATGGGGTCCTTGAGTATAGAAGTTGGAATTTTATTGATGGGAGAATAAACAACCCGAAAGTTAAATTTCTGCAAAATATGTGCAACTTTATAGCTAATTGATGGAAAGAAGGGAATGACAACAGAATTTTTATAATCTCCTAAAATAAGAGTGTGGCTTTTAGTGTGTTGAGATGAGAATTTTTTAACTGCTTGATTAATAATGTTGGGTGAAAAGCCCCTGTCAATAGCTATTGCTTTTAAATAATTTAGTTCTTCATCAAGGGCTAGTTTGGAGGAGCAAACTTGAAGAGCACGGAAAACAAAGGAATAAAATGAAGCTAACTTTTGTTTAGTCGGATGACATGATTTAAAATGTGGTGGAAGGCAAAAGATGAAGGTTTACGGTAAACTGTAGTACTGAAGTTGGATGTGTTACGTGTGACCAGAATGTCGAGAAACGGAAGAGAATTGAAAGTCTCAAGTTCAAAAGTGAACTGAATAGCAGGATCAATAGAATTCATTGTTGAAAGAACTCTATTTAAATCATCTTTATTACCTTCAAACAGGGTAAAAGTATCGTCTACGTAGCGGAACCATGCCGGGAAGTTTAAAGTTTCAAACAATTTTGATTCATAATAATGCATGTAGATATCAGCCAGGATGGGACTGAGGGGGCTTCCCATGGCTAATCCCTCAGTTTGCTTGTAATATTTATTTTGGAAAACAAAATGTGTTTGTTTCAAACAGAGTTGAGTGAGAGAAATTAGCTCATCAATTTCGATGCAAGAGAAATGAAATTGCGAAGTCTGGTTTCTAGACATCTTAATGCACCCTCCACTGGGACATTGGTGAATAGTGATTTTACATCAAAAGAAACCATGAGTAAATTACTAGGAGAAATGTTTTTAACCTTTTTTACAAACTCTATTGAATTTTTTATGGTGTAAATGTTATTGTCTAATAGAGTGGAAAATCTAGAAACTAAATATTTAGCTAATGGATACGAGGCAGTACCTAAATTTGATACAATAGGGCGGAAAGGAATACCACTTTTATGAATTTTGGGAAGAGCATATAATCTGGCACAATTCGCAACAGATGGGATAAGCAAATGTTTTAAGTTGCTTGAAATGATTTGCGAAGATTTGATCGCAGTTTTTACTTTGGATAAGTCCGAAGGTGAAGGATCTTTAGGGATCGGATTATATGGTCCTTCGTTTAAGAGTTTAGTGACACCATCGATGTAAGTGTTCTTATCCATGACGACTATCTGGCCACCTTTGTCGGCCTTTGAAATGATAATATCCGGGTTAGAATGAATTTCGCGCATTGTAGCTCTTTCTCTCGCAGTTAGATTTGGTTTCAAAGGTTTATTATTGAATTTCACATTATGAGCGATAAGATGCCTAATCATTTCTTTCTGTGAATCTGAAACTTTACTGAACTTGAAAGCTTTTTCGATTAGGAGCCAAAATCTTTGGAATCGAGGGTTTACAGGTTTGTGAGAAGTTAAAAATTATATTTTAGAATTCTCTCTTGTTCTTCTGAAAAGACTAACATTAGAAATATTAACTACTGGCTTGATGTTTACAATGGGAAGATTTTTTGAGCTACTTGAACTGGAAGACTGTAAAAGAAGTTTTTCGAATTTAACTGCAAGGGTGTTTTTATGACGGATAACTGCATTCTCCGTTCTAGACCAAGACTTTTGTTCAAGGGCAGTGAATTTTGGATAGGATTTAGCGTAGTTCACTTTTGAACTTGAGACTTGCAATTCTCTTCCGTTTCTCGACATTCTGGTCACACGTAACACATCCAACTTCAGTACTACAGTTTACCGTAAACCTTCATCGGTTTGCCTTCCACACTTTAAATCATGTCATCCGACTAAACAAAAGTTAGCTTCATTTTATTCCTATGTTTTCCGTGCTCTTCAAGTTTGCTCCTCCAAACTAGCCCTTGATGAAGAACTAAATTATTTAAAAGCAATAGCTATTGACAGGGGCTTTTCACCCAACATTATTAATCAAGCAGTTAAAAAATTCTCATCTCAACACACTAAAAGCCACACTCTTATTTTAGGAGATTATAAAAATTCTGTTGTCATTCCCTTCTTTCCATCAATTAGCTATAAAGTTGCACATATTTTGCAGAAAGAAATTTAACTTTCGGGTTGTTTATTCTCCCATCAATAAAATTCCAACTTCTATACTCAAGGACCCCATTCCGGATATGAATTCCTGGGGTATTTATAGGATTCCTTGCCAGTGTGGTTTAATTTACATTGGTCAAACTAAGAGAGCCTTAAAATTTCGCGTCAAAGAAACATGAGGCATATGTTAGAAAAAAGGAAACACAGAAGTCTTCTGTTGCTCAACATTGTTGGTCCGAAAATCACACTTTCAATTTTTCTGCTGCCAAAATTATTCAAAAAACATCTTCCATTGGAGAACTGGATTTTCTAGAGGCATTTCACATTCATAAAAATCTTTCTGTTCTAGTTAACGATCGTAATTCCAATCCAAATTTGCCTTCGGCTTTTAGAGAAATTATGTTTTAGTTCTGGTTTCGCCAACAGATGGCGCCACTTGCTTATTCTTGTCCAGGCTTTCTTATCTTATCTAATCATTATTTCCTATCTTGTTCATTTGCGGTTTTGCAGCTGAAGATGATGGTTCGGTAAAACCATCGAAACTAGTCCTGTGAAAATTTTGTGAATATAACGCTGATTTTGTTGTTTGACTTCTGAATTAGCTCTCTGGATCTAAAATGCTTTCATCCTCGTGTTCGTAATCAAAATTTCTTTTTCTTCTTCCAATGCGTTTTGCTGCTGGAGGAGGAAATTCTGCTTCTAGTTCAACTTCGGCAGCAATTTGCTTTGCAGCATCCATAAATATTTGAAATTTTATTTCAACAAAGTAGTCTTTTATTTTCTGCGGGAAGAAATTTTGGACTTTTACTCACGTTGATTAGAATTATGAGATGAAAATTTAAACTGATTTTTTACCATATGAAGCTTAATTATCCTATGCATCTTTTAATTCTGCTAGAGCATCATATATTTCACCTAATTGTGTTTTAAGTGGTGTGATTGCTTCTATACGACTTTCCCATCTTGTATCTGATAATGGCTTTAATGTAAGTTTCGGAATATGCGCTAATAAAATACTCCATCTATAATTTGATGCTGAGAAGTAAACGTACAATTCCTGAATTAAGTAAAAAAGAAAAGAACTGTTTCGAAGCTTACTTTAGCAGCGTCGTTCACAACAAGATTTAAACTGTGAGCTATACAAGGAATAAAAAATGTACGGGGACAAGCGTCCAAAATTTTTTTCTGTAGTCCTCGCATATTAGCCCCATTGTCATAACCTTGTCCACGTAAATTATTCATATCCAGTTTTAGCTCTTGAAGGTTTTTTACTATAAATTCATATAATCCTTAACCAGTTGTATCTGTAATTGGGCAGAATCCCAAGAAATGTTCATAAATCTTAACTGGTGGGACGCAAGGAACACATCGAATTATAACAGTTATTTGTTCAGTATGTGAAATATCTGGGGTACAATCTAAAATTATAGAAAAAAAAAAATATTTTGCCTCTCGTATTCTGTCTAATATTTGTTCTTGTATAGTTGTTGCCAATAACTTAATCATTTCGTTTTGGTGTTCCCAACCTAGATAGTGAGGCGCATTTTTGTAATTTTTGGATTGTATTCTACGTAAATGTTCGGAAAGAACTGCGTCAAATTTGGAAATCATTTGAGTCAATTGAAGGAAGGAAATTTCCATTATCTGGCTGAAACAGTTTTTGTGGAACCCCTAAAGGCCAAGCACTGACGAGATAAATATCTGACAATAAGCATCAATCTTTCAATAACGGCACGCCAATGATTTTTTCCAGTTCGTATAATCGCTGATTGGACGAGTCGATTGTCGTACCCTTTTTCGGTGCTACACTCAAATCATGCATTTGTTTAGTATATTTAATGTGGATTAATCTGCTCTCATGCCTTTTCAAGATTAAAGATAACTGTTGCCAATCGTTCACTCCTTCTTTACCATATATACGCTCCTTTTTCTCTGTGACATCGGTGCAAAATAGTTTACATGGAGCACAGAAAACACTATTTAAAGATAAAGAATATAATAACCAAGGACGGTGGATTTTTTCACCATTGCTTAAAGTACGGTAAAAATATGACTCTGAAATTTTTTTATTTTGCTCATCTCTGGGAAATGCTATGTTTTGAACTTGACTTGGGAAATTTTCAATTATATATTGTACCTGACTGTAGGTTAGGTTTATAGGCCATTTACCAGGCCATTTACCAGGATCGTCAGAAACTAGGCAAAGAGCGTCGTCTTTTTCTAAAGATTTAAAAGTAGTTAAAGCATCCATGTCCATACCTGTTTCAGTTGTCTGCTCTACTTTTTCCTTCTCCCATTCTTCCCTTTTCTCTTTTTCGTGATTATCAACATCATGATTTTTTTTCAGTAAATGAAATGTCTTTCCCTGCTTCCCAGCACACTACAGATTCATCTCTTAGGCACCCAGTACCCACAGAAGTTGATGCACCAAAATTTACAATATTTACATTGTCATTATTACTTACATTTCTTGAAATTTCTGTTGTTGAATTGTCACTTATAATATCACTATTATCACTTCCAGTTTTCAAATATTTTTCTAAGGCACCGCTTTGTTGTTGCTGTTCTTCAAGCCTAGCTTTCCTCTTTTGTTTATATTGATAACCTGACAGTCTTTTAGTTTTTCTGGCAGACATTTTTAAGGGTCGAAAATGAAAACCTAAATAGTAGTATACAAAACTGCACTGAATCTACGCACGTTTTTGGTAAAAAGTATGTAAGTGTCAATGTAACAAAACGGTAACACTTTTTAAAGTACAAAGTACAAAAAGTCAGTATATTCATTAAAATATAACATCTTCACATCGCACACGCAAAATCGGCAAAACTATGCGATCGCACGGGGTTGTTTTAAACTAAAATTAAAATTTGTTACCTCACACTTGCAGTGGTCTATTCTTCGCATCTACTACAAATTTACAACGCAACTGTAAGAAAATTAAGGCGCAGCTAAATATATCTGGCGCGGTGATGTTCCTTTCGTGCGAGTCTAGGGGGGAAGCCCCCCTCGGGCCACATTAAAACTGGTTATTTTCGAACTAATAACCCCAATTATTAGTTTGGTCCGCTGTAATATTTTTCAATCATCAATTCTTTGCTGCATCGGCGTATATTCCATAACCCAATAAAGAACAAAATTTGACGACTCAAGTGTTTATTTCCTTATGTTGTTACAATACTGTAATACAATACAAATTTGCGAAGACATAAGTTCGGCTTATTTTCGTTATTAAAGCTTGATGAGTTTATGTTTTGGAAGATTTATTTTCAATAAAACTCGGTGAGTATGATTTTTTGCTTAAAAATCGGCGGTCCGTGGCCGCCTCTCATAATCGGCCGCCTGTGTTTTTTTGAACACACCGGACACATGGTAGCGGCGGCCCTGAAATTTATCGTCCTATAGAAAAAAAAAATCTATTAGTTTCTTCCAAGAACATAGAATATTACATTTTCAGAACAGTTTTCATTAATCATACCCTGCAATTAAATAATAATAATTTCTGAAAATTTCAATTTTTTTTTTGTGTTAACCCTGGAGATCTGTGAAGAAAATAAGAAATATGTCAAAGACCTGATATCGTGATAGCTAATATTCATCATGCATTTAAATGCATGGAAATTAAGGATGCAGGTGCAATAAAAAAGGGCACTGGCAACATACTGCAATATCTAGGGCCAAACTGAAGTTCCTGATAGGCAATAACAAATAATTTTATAACACTGATTATTTTATATAAGAATATAGAATACACATATAAAAGAAAATATTAATTACACAAATATAACTTTTTATATTAAAAATTTAAAAAAATCACAGAAAATATCGAACAACATGAAACAATGAATGTTTAACAATGAAAAAAATGTTATATATATATATGATATAATAAAAGCAAGGAAAAGATGGAGCATTGTTGATGCATATGTAGATCCATATGGAAGAGGAAGAATTTTGATTGCATAGTATGCTAATAATGTTGACTTGGTAATATCTAAAGAACTTGACAGTCGAGGCGGTTTTAATTCCATTTTTATTTTCCAGTTGACGTATGTTTTCTACAATTCACTTGGCACTCGTAGTTGTGCCTATTCAAGGACATTTACATTTTTGATAGCGTAGCGATAGCAAGTAAGACAGCAAAATTACATCCTAGCAGGGTAGAGAGCAAAGCTGAAATGCGTAGTTATGCAAGATGGAAGCACACGAAGGGAAAAGTTTTGGTTTGAATTAAAAGTTTCAGTTCACAATTATTACGTCATTAGCGCAGCCCATGCAAGATACAATTATCTAGAAATGGCACAATTCAGAGAAGTTATTACGATTTTTAAAACAGAGAGGAAGAATTAAAGAGTTTACTGTTAGTTTGAAGTATAATTTTGATTCACATATTTTTTACCTTATATGTAAGACAAAAAATATGAAAGCAAACTTCTAAATTTAATTCACTATAACCTCTTTTATTTTCTATTTCATTTGGGAACTTCATCTATCTGTCCTAAAAATAGCGCTGTAAGTCTAAACTGTTATTCAAATTAAGCATGTGATCTTACTTAACCCTTATTGCAGATGCCTCTTGACAAATCATCAAATTGTAAACCAAAACTAAAAACTGACTCCCTCCCTTCTTTCTATGAACTGATGCATCACTTTTGCTTGTGCTTTCCTCTTGGTCAGACGTTTTTCTGCAATTATGTGTGTGCTGCGACTTTCGCTTCTATGGGAATAATACCAAAATTGAAAATGTTCTTTAATAGGCATGAGTAGAGTGCCAAGTTAATTGTGACCACAAATGAATTAAAATAAATAAAAGGATTTTAATCCGGCTTGATTGCTTATTCTTCAACACGGATGGACACTCTAAGCTTCAAGTATCTACGCAATTAGTATTTCTATGCATTTAGTCACTACATTCTTCGGCTAGTTCTAATTATGAAATAATCTGCATGGGTTTGTTATTCTATGTTCACAGTGAATCGTGGGAAAAGTCCTGTTTCACCGAAAATTTTAATGCAATTTTGTGCCGCATTCATAATCAAACCTTTCATCTCGTGTCATGGAACCACAGTTTCATTACATATATTTGGTGCTGAAAACAAACTTAAAAAATTGACTACCTAAAATGCTGTGTTTAAAAAATCTGTTGAAAAAATAAAATTTAATGGATAAATTATTCTTATATGTAGTTTTCTTCATCTTCAGAACACATATAATGCTTTTCTCTTGTAAATCTGTTATAAACCCTGAGTTATAGTCATTTTGCTTCATAAAACTGATAACATGAATTCATTATTTAAAATGCACTTCCTTTATTAGACAGAATATTTGAAATTATTCTTTATCATATATATATCTTGCTTCAAGAAATATTAAATACAAAATGCTAAATCTTCAAGACTATATATTTCTTTCAATATATTTACTCAGTTACATAAATAATACAATCAAGTATTACCAAGAGATTGAGGGTCAAAAATCACAAACTCTGGTCTCAGTTTGCTGACTCTCTTGCCTTTGAGAAGAGGCACTAGACCTCCTAAATATTCCAAAAACATAGTATAGGTTGCACTGCTAGTCATATCATCATCCTCATGTCTTATCATGGTGCAGTGAAAGCGAATGTCACTTGATGGTGGTTTGGATACAAATTCTCGCAAATGATGTGGATCAGGGAGATGACACTGTAGAAAAAGGGAATCAGTTGAAATTTTTAAACATCATATTTTTTAATAGAATTGAATACTGAATGCAAAATCATATGATTAATCGAAATTGTGCATTTGGGAATACCAACCTTGATGGTTTGCATTGTCAGATGAGAAATCAGAGCCCGAAGTCTTTGAGGCAATGGCAGTTTCTGGATTAAGGCATCATTCTGTAAAGCGCCATAAGTTGCAAGTCGAGCTAATAACTGAAGAGAAGCAATTTTTTGTGTCACCCAACCTACATGAATGATGCATCCAGTAGCTACAAAAAGACGCTTATCATTATGTCCCCAGGTCATTGCAGTCACTGGACTCTAAAAGTTAATAAATTTCATAACTTAGAAATTATACTACAACATTTTGAGCAATGTTTAAGAAAACATTTTTTATGCAGTTACATGAGTTAGTCATTCGGAAACATAAATTATTTTGCAAAGAATTTATACACTATGCTTTTGTCTTTTCTGGATAGTCATTACAGTACTTCCTTATTATAGCAGACCCTAAAATTTAATTGCTAATCTACTAAGAGGTAGTGAGGTATAAGAACATACAATGAGATATCTTGGTTGATTAGTGATTCAACGTTGGGGGCTGCTATAAGATGAAAGTACCACAATTACTTTCATGTTTTCATGACAAGCAACTCCAAGCCATGCTTAACTTTTGTCATTACTAGATTAATGAAGGAAGAAAATGAAATGCATGACCAACCATGTTTCTCATAAGTAGCAAACACATAATGTATTTTCATACAGTTTAAAAAAACAAATTTAATAAACGAGAAAGCTAAAAACAATTATTTTCCAACACAAAATTTTTAACTTTGTGATAAAAAATAATATCAATAATATAATATTTAAGAATCAAGAAGTCTTACTTGGGTACAAGGTATAGGAATAACAAAACGCAGTACTCCATTTTCATTGTAAAAGTGAAGCATGTTAACAAAATTTCCACCAGAAGAATCAACTGACATTCCAGCAACAGCTAGTAACTCACCACTGTTTGCCCATTCCATTTTGATACCTTTAGAAAATAAAAAGCCAATATCAATATTCTTAAATAATTAAAAAAATAAAAACTACATGTAATATTTTATGCAAGTATTCAGTAAATTTCCATAACTAGATGAACAAAAAAACAAAAAGCAAAAAGTTTTAAACAAAAATTTACACATTTAATTCTTACAAATATTGGCACATATTTTGATTAATATTAAAACATGGCACATAAAACAGAAAATTAAATTTAGCAGATTTACTACACATGTCCTTGTTTTTAGCATGTTTTAAGGGATTACTTGATTAAATACTCATTTATGGCTGGTTACAGACCCATCACTCTAATTCAAGATATGAATCAAATAAAGTAAACTTAATACTATGACAGGTTTGGTCAAAATTTTACTTACAGTCACAAACTACCTTTCATATAGACATAGTACACAACTACCTTTCATATATACATAGAAGAAATATGATTGAAAGACAACTTTACTTTTGCTAATGTCTGTTTGAAATTCATTTAGAATAAAGGTGTATCTTGTATATTTTCCTCATTATCATGAAGTTAATACAAGGAAAATGTTAAACTCAACAGATTCGTTAGTTACTTGCAGAAATGGGGGAAAAAGATAAGTCCACTGTAATTTTAACCGCAATTCCTTTTCTCCAGAAATGAAAGGAAAAATTTTTTCATTAATGTTTCCAATTATGTAACATCACTTCCTAGATCATAAAAAAGGAGCTGTTCCTAAAATATGTATATTTTATGTATATGTATGTACACTGATGATTCAGAAACGGATGATGCAACTGTCCCCACTGACAACCAATTCATTAAAAAACTAGATGCAATCATAGCAGCTTGAACACTTTTCATTGTTAACACCATATTTTTAATGCAGAATTTTCAATGTATAACATGAATATGGGCCAGGTTCTCATAAAAAGAATTAGCTTATGAAAATGAATGCCTTATCAAAATAAAACAAAACTTCAGCATGGCTAACTTGTGCATTTTCCATAATATCCCAATGCTTAGCATCATTCAAATTGCTGCAATTTTGATTGCGCTCCAAGTATATGACATGAACAATTTCTTCATCACTTATAAAACACAAAAATATGTTTTGCTGTTTTCTAGATTTAATGATCCTGAAACAACCTTGATTGAAGCTATGTCTTTTTGCTCTTTTAGTCTTTGAAACATGTCAACAAATTTATTGTCACTTACTTTTGCTTTCATCTTTAACACATATAAACCACTTTTAAGAACAATGAGCAATAGGAATGCTGCTAAATAACTCATCATTAAAAATGAAAGAAGTTCAATCACTGCTAAGAGAATTTGCGTGCACATAGCATGCATGATCACTGATAAGAGAACTAGAGCGTGCATGCATTCCCACACAAAACACAACACTCACCACTTATTAAAATCACTTCCATTCCAAACATATTCAGTTTATTGAGTGACTAAGTTTCATAGATGGCCATTTGCAAACTGCAAATAATGATACTGGTTTCAAACTTTTCAATAATTAATCCTAAAATAATTAAAAATTAATACTAAAATTAAACTAGATATGCAAAATTCATCCAAATTTTTTTTTATAATTATGCTCTTGATGAAATTTTATCTCTTGTAAAAAAGTTCTCCATGTATGTTTGTTCACATTGTTTAACCCATTAGCTGCTGGTGTTGCGTTGACACAACGGTAAAAATAAATGCGTATATAAATATAACTACCTAAGATATTTTGTACCAGCAGATGATTTTGTGTAGGGAATATTATGAAGATTATTTCTGTAAAAAAATATTTGCCTTCAACAATCATTTTGCTTATAATAATTAATCTCATACTTTAAGCAAAATTTTCGACCGGGTATTTTTGTTGAAAATATTTAACGAAAGAATCGCCATCTTTATGAGTTCTCTATTTTTAGTCAAAGTCACCGTTTATCAGAACATTACATCAATCAGATGTTTACATTTGTGTTGGGATAGAAGGGAAAACAGGTGTTGCGCTGACGCAATGTCAGCAGGAAACGGGTAAGCTCCTTTTTTACTCTTTCCTTTCGATGTTCTGGTTCATACTCTGGCTGCTTTAAAAATGCCTATAACGGTATCTTACATTAGAAAGATTATTTTGATGAAGAAACAGATGATGATAATGTTAATAATGACCAGAATGAAACTGATATTGTTGTTCTCCCCCCAGAAATAGCAGAAGCTAGTAATGAAGAAGAAGGAAATGACACAGTGTTTTAAAAATGAAAATGATATTTTAACCAAATGATACTGCTGAAAGTTGAAATTCAGGTAAGAAGTAAAGTTCAGCCTTCTAAAGCAGTGGTAGTCATAACGAAAAATTTGAAAAGCAGAAAACTGAAAATTTAAAATGGATAAAAAAGGAACCCGTCAGTTATGTCTCAGAAAGAAGAAAATGAAGAGATAGAAGAGAAACTATAAAAGACAAAATACAAGGTAAAACTACTGGAGAGATGTTCGATTTTCTTTAGACATTTACTCTCTTCTCGTTGAACAGACAAATTTATATGCTCAGCAAAAAAATCTCAAAGAATTTATTGCATCTGAGGCCTATATGGGAAGATTTATTGGAATATTATATATACAGGATATTGTTCTTTACCTCAAGAAAAAATGTATTGGTCACTTGATAAGGACATTTCTGTTCATATTGTATGAGAATCGATATCACGTTTGTAGTACAGGAATACGAAGCAGAATTTGCATTTAGCTGACAAAAGTCAAATTGACAATACTGGTAAATTATATAAGGTGAGACTGTATTTAAACTTACTAAATATCATGACTTTCTGCTACTGGAAATAAAAAGTGTCTTTTAGATTTCAGATGCGAGATTGCATTATTCCTTTTGCAAACTCTTATTGAGAGTGTAGAATTAGCCAGAAATAGATCAGCAACAGGAAGACCGAGTAAATTCAGCATTCAAAAACCATTGCATGGAGATGGTAGACATTTTATCGTAAAGTCCGATGATAACAAGACTTTGTTGTAAAGAGTGCCTTAGCCAGACTGTTTATAGATGCAAAGCATGTAATGTAGCTTTACATCAAGATTGTAGTGAAGCTTTTCATGCTTGAATCTTTCAATTGAAATAATCTTTGTAAAAGAAATATAATGTATATTTTAGTATTAAATTAATTAAAAGTAAAGTTTTTTATAGATTTATAAAATGCTATACAGCTAAAAGGTAATCCAGTGCTCCACTCAAAGGAAACATCGCATGAGTACAATCCTATTCACCAAACATCCGTAGTCTTATTCCGCTGACGTTGCGCTAACGCAACACTCGCTTTTTCCACAGGTAAGAGCATTTTTTTTTTATTTTCAATGTAAATTTATGTTATAAATGCTTAATTTAATATTTGTTATTATTTTCATGAGAAAAGAATCATTCCTTGTAGTTTTGGTGGTTAACCGGTTAACACACAGAAAGAATGTGAACATTGTTTAACAACACAAACATTGAGAATACACAAATTGTATTCTCAATTTCTTAATGCTAGCTGCTTGTTTTTTGATTTGTACCTTTCAATTAAAAAATTATTATAATTTGCAGGCTTTCCTAAATTTGATTATGTTTGCATATCATCACTTTTTTCTGTATCATTTTCGTTGTCAGGTTCTGCCATTCTTTTAACACTTTCATAGCGAGTTTTTATTCATACTGCCTTAGCATTTTTGCAAACTGACACATATAAAAATGAATCTTTATAACTATATACAGTACAAAGAGCGAGATCCGGATGTCCAATGTTCAGAATGATCTTAAATACGTACCTGAAAGCCCCCAACTAAATTTTTTTAGGAATTTTTTTTAATGCCTTACGCCTGCGCATTTGACTGTTTTCCTCATAAGAAAACATGGAGAATTCCAATTCTTAATTTCACTTCGGCACTAAATAAAACACCTCGTTATTAAAGAAACAATCATTTAGCATAAATTTGTGTGACCAATAATTTGGCTCCATAGCTGCAAATCTACTTGACATACATCTCAAACAGAAACATTCTACATAGAAACATCGTTGATTTTACAACTGCTAATATTTTATATCTCTCCGGTGAATCCTTATTTATTATGTTTTACTTTTATCATCATATGCTTGTCAACACATGACAACATGAGTAATAACTCCTAAAATTTTTTTTTTATATTAGTAATTGAATGAGAAAGAGTATGGAAACCTTTTATGTTGACATTACGCTTAGTGATGATTACAGATGCGCTAAATATTTACAAGGAAAAATGTAACAAAAATTTCTTTCCACATGCTAAAAATAGATTTTGTTAATGATATATCATAGGCCAAAAGATTACATTTAGTGTAAATTGTTTATCACATAAACCCAGAATCGGCACCAGAGCTCGTATGGCCACACAGGTGGCAGAATATGGGGAAGACAACATTTTTGGAATTTAGAGAAGCACTGAGCAACAAAATTAAGGTATGAACATTTTTTGGAATTTAAGGAAAGCACTGGGATTCAAATTATAGGGGCGGCAAAAATTCAGGACTTAGGGAGGTGGATGGTACCAGACTTTTAGGACCCGCAGAGATCTAGTGCCAGCCCTTGCTAAGCCTTAAGTATCTGTGGAATTTATTTATTCAGGACTCAGATAAGCCTTAAGCATGTGCTAGAAATAGACGTAAGTATAATAATTAACTAAACTAATACAATTCAGGCTTAATTATCTCAGTGTGTGATAGAATTCAGGCTTAATTATCTCAGTGTGTGATAGAGGGAAGACAAAATTTAGCAGAACAACTTGTCTTTTGTAGCCAATCTCATGATACATAGCAAATAATGTATAGCAGATTCTATTAAACTAGGCTAAAATTATACTTTACCGACTTCAAGGAATTTTGATTCATACAGCAGATTGCGCTGTTCCTTAATTTTCTGGTTTGATCCAGCTTATTATTTTTTGCAGCTATTATTATTACAGCAATTTTATAAAACATTAAAGTTTC